TGTTGTTGCACGGCCAGCAGACGTGCCTGCTCGGCATCCTCTGCCCTTTTCTTGGCTGCTGCGGCAGCGTCATCTGCTCGCTTCTTTGTCTCGGTACTCCAGGCTAACATGCGGGCCTAATAGGCCTCGTCTGTTTCCCCGGCCTTCTGGTCCATGACTACGGTCTGTGAACGCAACAGCATAGGCCAGACCGGTGCCTGTTGATGTGGTATCCCTTGGTGCTGACGTGGCAATGCTGACGTGTCCTGTTGACGTGGCCTGCTGACGTGGTCTATTGACGTACTTACGTAGCCTGCTGACGTGTCCTGCTGACGTGGTCTGTTGACGTGGCCTGCTGATGTGGCAACTTACCAATGCCGTCACAAGGGTACCCGGAGACAAGCAGCAACGGCAAGCCGAGGGATGGCAACAACGTAGGTGGGGAAGGGTGGGTGGGATAATCGCCCAACTCACACTTAGATAAGGAGCCACTAATCAAAGCAGAAAAGTTTGAACTTTGCAATTTTTTTTTCGAGAAACTAAAAAAAATAAAAATCCCGATTTTTGCAAGTTTGGTAGGTCTCCCAATCTCCCTTGAAGTACGAAATGATCTCTGAAAGCGAAAAGAAAATCGACTTTAGACTGCAACCGATTGATAGAACCAACTGACAGAATCCAACAACTGCGAAAAAAGTCCGAACGGAAATGACAAATATTCGGATTTATTCCSATGGGAATATTCGCAGTTTGAAAAAAATAATATGTGCAGGAGGTATTTCACGAAAGAAGATATTCCGAAGTTCTAAGTACGGGAAAATGCAACAGAAATCGAAATTTTCAAAAAGAAATATATTTCGGATTTTTTTAACAACGAAATTTCGAATTTTCAGAAAAAAAACGAAAGTAGGAATTTCAGATGTTGCGATATAGCGATTTTCCTCAGCAGAATAGCGAGAAAATAAAATCCGAGAAAAGAAAACTTTCGATTTTTTTTTTTTAGTAAGGTCAAAATCGTGATTTTGGGGTCTAACTAGTATGTCCTAATCAACAGAAAAGACTAACTAGCTTTTTTGGATCCCCGCACACGTGTCAGATCAGATAGTCCTGATTCACGTGCCAAAAGCTCCGATACCAACTGTTACATGCACAGATATGCAATGTATGCAAATTATAAACCGAGAATCTGCAATGTGATGAAAAGGACTGAATAGACAATGCGGTTACGAGAATCTCGACCAGCAATGTACATTCTCATTCATACATAAAGATGATGAAGAGCGCAGGGAAGACTTGATACAAAGACTGACCTGACTAGGACTGACCTCATTTATGTAGGCATCAAGTAGCGAAGCAGAGGGCTAGACTAGCCCAACCAATGTTTGAACTCGGACTACACATGCATTGTGTCCATCACTCAGTGTGAAGGAGCCTGGCGCTGAACACAAGAAGAGAGCGCCAGGTCCAGACATACACAGACGAAGAGATAAGGAT